CCAGATGTGTTTGTTGGAATATTTATGCGAGGGACCACCTCCGCGACCATTGGTGCTCGTTGCTTTGACTGCAAAAAAAAACTTAAAAAAGTCTATTCCGACCAAGTCTTCAGATTTCCCGGGGGGGGGGGGGGGGGGGGGGGGGGGGACTATCACCGCCGTTGCCGTGGCAGGCCAGTTCTACATTCACTGCCTTAGTACCAGCCTCTTCGGACGGGTATTTCAGCCTTCACCTCTTTCCCTACCTGCAGCATGTTAGTACTGTGCGTTGCTCACCGTGGGCATAATCTTTCCCTGTTGGTAAAGAGCTCATCACGTGAACAACGATAGTGTCGCCCTGAATTTGTGGTGCGTATTCAAGAGGCCCTGTCGCCTTTCCTTTAGAACAAGTAAAGGGACAAAATCCACTTCTCTCCTCACGATAAAGTATTCCAAGTGCTCCACCGGGGGTTTCAAACACAAAAACACAAGCGGCATGTGTATGGACACCCACATACACACCCACGCACGCCCACGCCCACACATAAACTAGCTGTTCTTCCATTCCGGAGAATGTTCAACTCACCGGTAAACTCTGGGTGTCCAACGATCTCTTGCGACATGCCTTCACCATCGTACGGCTGTGCACAACTGAAGTTGATGATCTTGACTACACCAGATGAATTACTCTGCAAGACGATATTCTCCGGCTACAAACACAGACAGGTAAAGGCAAGCAACACAAGGAACACAAACACACACCCATACTCATGCCCATCGCTGAAGCGATGCTAGCGAACAAGCTATGTTGGACATAGCAACTTGTGCTGAGATTACACCATTCAACAGCTTGCAAGGCTGGTGAATTTATCGCCACTAATTGAGCACACCCCCCCCCCCCCCCCCCACACACACATGTACACATTCTCAATACAATAAACCAATGAAATGCGTATCGATATCAATGGCTAGCAGCGGTACACAGATTCTCTTAGCCTGTCCATCGACAGTATGCAACTGTGCAGTTTGTGCAGTTCATGTACATCACTGTTCAATTGTCCTTTCAACGAGCGCCAATAATGAGGACTCGTTGGAAAGATGAGAGAACAAGCTTTCCAACGATGTGCCGTTTGACATAGCGCGATGAGGAATCACTGAGCACCGAAGAGCGGAACACGGATACGCTCGAATTTGTTTCAAACTGCGTGGGTGGCAAGTGCAGCAGTGCTCAAACGGGGACTTCCCCTGTGACTCATGGTTGCATGGCGTATGCGTAGTGGAGGCCAAATGAATCGCTTGAGCTTCAGGAATCAGCACGACTTTGAATCGCCTTTCTACGTGTAAAACTTAAGTGATAAAATTTGTGGACGAGGGTACACAATCTCGCTCAGGCGCAATAGGGCAGCTCTCAAAAAGCATGAAGGCGATTCCGTTGCTCCTGCTGAGCACTTGGCGGCAATAGCTGGAGAGAGGAGATCTGTAGCTTTCCAAAGAGACCAAGATTGAGAAATTTCAAATCTGGTGAGTGATATAAGATAACTGTATTATAGCAATCAGCAGAATCAGCGAAGCGGACATTGGACATTCTAATCAACAAGAATAAAAATAAGATAACGTTAAAGTGCGTACTTGGACTGTCGCGCGCCTCTGCGCGCTGCAGGAATCCATGCATACCACGGTAGGGCTCAAAAGGTTAACGATCCCGACGTGCCTGAGTTTCACTGCATGTGGTTCGACTTACCTGCAGACTCAAGTGCATGAGGTTTTTGTGATGAATGAAAGCCAGACCGCACAGGATCTGCTTGACAAAGTTGATGACCTCGCCTTCGGAATAGGTGTCTCTTGCGGCCAAGCTGGGGAACAACTCTCCACCGGTAAGCCTGAAGCACAGGAGGAAAAGTGAGTGGGAAGCACACACACACACACACACACACACACACACACACACACACACACACACACACACACACACACACACACACACACACACACACACACACACACACACACACACACACATATATGCACGTCAGTGAGTACACACACACACACCCACCCACACACACACACACATGTGCACCCACACACATGCATCCATACACCCACGAGCACGTAAGCAAGGAGGTCAGAAACAGAGAGCTTCTCCAAATGGCGTTGTTGAATATGTTTTGCATTGCGTGACCAGCTAGCGTATGTGGGGTCACACGTGCAAAGCACCCTCAATCTACTAGTACTCAACCTCCCTTCTAGCCTTAAAAAAGCCTTGTTCTTGCAAACACGTGTCTTTCGGCTCTGTCTTTGCGGTATCGAGCACTTTTGCCAGTTCTAACAAACTCAACCAGTGAACCTCCATTCTACACAGTAAAGAGCTTGTTAAAACTCACTCCACTCGACCTTGCGACAGCAACAGAAGAACAAAAGATGGAAGATGCATAAATAGGCTCCAGCAGCCTTTGGACAATTTTGAAATAAAATATTCAACCAATTGATCAACAAACTCCACCAGAACCAGCAGCAATAACAGCAGCAACAACAGCAACAACAACAGCAACAACAACAGCAACAACAACAGCAGGAGGAGGATGGGAGAAGGAGGAGAAGGAGGAGACAGCTGGTTGACTTACTGTTCCAGAATCAGCACAACGCTGGAAGGCCCTTCAACGGCACCGTGCAGCTGAACGATGTGTCGGTGGAAGTTCAGCTTATTCATGATCTCAATCTCCTGCACGATGTCACTACGCTGGCGTCCTCGTGCGGCGCGTGGTCGGTGCTTACGAATGTGCTTGGCTACGTAGGATTGGCCGTTCTTCCTGCACAGACATAACCTTACGGAACCAAACTTTCCCCTGCAGAAAAAGAGACGAGAGAGAGAGAGAGAGAGAGAGAGAGAGAGAGAGAGAGAGAGAGAGAGAGAGAGAGAGAGAGAGAGAGAGAGAGAGAGAGAGAGAGAGAGCGTCAGCAATAGGGGTAACATGCAATGTCCACCTCGCTAACACTATTCACCACTCTAATCGGGCGCTTGCCTTCATGTTGCCTACAGATCATATTCTCTTCAAATTCTACGCACATGAAATGAATGAATTGATTCATGGTGGTATTCGAGCGCACAAGGGCCCAGTGCGCTGGCAAACTAACAGACCAGACCAGTGGTGAATCAAAATTCCTCACTCTTTGATTTCCTCCCGGTCTTCATACAGATCCTCGTAGAGACACTCCTGAATGGACACGGCCGGACCAGTTGACGTCTGGTCCGCGACATGGGTCAATCACACAGATACAATGACAAAACACATGCACACACGCACGCACATGCACGCACACACATACACATGCACGCACACACATGCACGCGTGCGCGCGCGCACACACACACACACACACACGCACACAAGCACGCAGTAGTTAGGTGAATGAAACTACGTTCTATCCGATGCAAAGGCAACAGTACCTGTGTGCTGCATCAGGAGTACCAGTGCTTTATAGAACCGCTTCACAGTGACGAAATGGGTGTTCCACTGCTTATAGTGACGAAATGGGTGTTGCACTGCTTATAGTGACGAAATGGATGTTGCACTGCTTATAGTGACGAAATGGGTGTTGCACTGCATAGTGACGAAATGGATGTTGCACTGCTTATAGTGACGAAATGGGTGTTGCACTGCATAGTGACGAAATGGGTGTTGCACTGCTTATAGTGACGACATGGGTGTTGCACTGCTTATAGTGACGAAATGGGTGTTGCACTGCTTATAGTGACGAAATGGGTGTTGCACTGCTTATAGTGACGAAATGGGTGTTGCACTGCATAGTGACGAAATGGGTGTTGCACTGCTTATAGTGACGAAATGGGTGTTGCACTGCTTATAGTGACGAAATGGGTGTTGCATAGTGACGAAATGGGTGTTGCACTGCATAGTGACGAAATGGGTGTTGCACTGCATAGTGACGAAATGGGTGTTGCACTGCATAGTGACGAAATGGGTCTTGCACTGCATAGTGACGAAATGGGTGTTGCACTGCATAGTGACGAAATGGGTGTTGCACTGCATAGTGACGAAATGGGTGTTGCACTGCATAGTGACGAAATGGGTGTTGCATAGTGACGAAATGGGTGTTGCACTGCATAGTGACGAAATGGGTGTTGCACTGCATAGTGACGAAATGGGTGTTGCACTGCATAGTGACGAAATGGGTGTTGCACTGCATAGTGACGAAATGGGTGTTGCACTGCATAGTGACGAAATGGGTGTTGCACTGCATAGTGACGAAATGGGTGTTGCACTGCTTATAGTGACGAAATGGGTGTTGCACTGCTTATAGTGACGAAATGGGTGTTGCACTGCATAGTGACGAAATGGGTGTTGCACTGCTTATAGTGACGAAATGGGTGTTGCATAGTGACGAAATGGGTGTTGCACTGCATAGTGACGAAATGGGTGTTGCACTGCATAGTGACGAAATGGGTGTTGCACTGCATAGTGACGAAATGGGTGTTGCACTGCATAGTGACGAAATGGGTGTTGCACTGCATAGTGACGAAATGGGTGTTGCACTGCATATAGTGACGACATGGGTGTTGCACTGCATAGTGACGAAATGGGTGTTGCACTGCTTATAGTGACGAAATGGGTGTTGCACTGCATAGTGACGAAATGGGTGTTGCACTGCTTATAGTGACGAAATGGGTGTTGCACTGCTTATAGTGACGAAATGGGTGTTGCACTGCTTATAGTGACGAAATGGGTGTTGCACTGCATAGTGACGAAATGGGTGTTGCACTGCATATAGTGACGACATGGGTGTTGCACTGCATAGTGACGAAATGGGTGTTGCACTGCTTATAGTGACGAAATGGGTGTTGCACTGCATAGTGACGGAATGGATGTTGCACTGCTTATAGTGACGAAATGGGTGTTGCACTGCTTATAGTGACGAAATGGGTGTTGCACTGCTTATAGTGACGAAATGGGTGTTGCACTGCATAGTGACGAAATGGGTGTTGCACTGCTTATAGTGACGAAATGGGTGTTGCACTGCTTATAGTGACGAAATGGGTGTTGCATAGTGACGAAATGGGTGTTGCACTGCATAGTGACGAAATGGGTGTTGCACTGCATAGTGACGAAATGGGTGTTGCACTGCATAGTGACGAAATGGGTCTTGCACTGCATAGTGACGAAATGGGTGTTGCACTGCATAGTGACGAAATGGGTGTTGCACTGCATAGTGACGAAATGGGTGTTGCACTGCATAGTGACGAAATGGGTGTTGCATAGTGACGAAATGGGTGTTGCACTGCATAGTGACGAAATGGGTGTTGCACTGCATAGTGACGAAATGGGTGTTGCACTGCATAGTGACGAAATGGGTGTTGCACTGCATAGTGACGAAATGGGTGTTGCACTGCATAGTGACGAAATGGGTGTTGCACTGCATAGTGACGAAATGGGTGTTGCACTGCTTATAGTGACGAAATGGGTGTTGCACTGCTTATAGTGACGAAATGGGTGTTGCACTGCATAGTGACGAAATGGGTGTTGCACTGCTTATAGTGACGAAATGGGTGTTGCATAGTGACGAAATGGGTGTTGCACTGCATAGTGACGAAATGGGTGTTGCACTGCATAGTGACGAAATGGGTGTTGCACTGCATAGTGACGAAATGGGTGTTGCACTGCATAGTGACGAAATGGGTGTTGCACTGCATAGTGACGAAATGGGTGTTGCACTGCATATAGTGACGACATGGGTGTTGCACTGCATAGTGACGAAATGGGTGTTGCACTGCTTATAGTGACGAAATGGGTGTTGCACTGCATAGTGACGAAATGGGTGTTGCACTGCATAGTGACGAAATGGGTGTTGCACTGCTTATAGTGACGAAATGGGTGTTGCACTGCTTATAGTGACGAAATGGGTGTTGCACTGCATAGTGACGAAATGGGTGTTGCACTGCATATAGTGACGACATGGGTGTTGCACTGCATAGTGACGAAATGGGTGTTGCACTGCTTATAGTGACGAAATGGATGTTGCTCTGTTTATAGATCTCCAAAGCACCAAAACTATGGCAAACGTCTCTTGAAAGCACCCACTTTGTCCAGAGAATGTGTACGGATTACATCGGTCGACTGAAGGCAACAAACCCCACCATCACTACGCCCCATATGCAACTTTTTGTCTTTGCCTGTGAGCTCTGATAATTGTAAAAAAAATCGCAATGACATCGTACACGCGGCCTATTCTCAAGATTCACTGCATTACAACGCATCAAAGGATTCTGCCAGCCCGCTCACCTTGGTGAAGTAGAAGGCGCGCACGGTCTCGATCGTCAGGTCCTGGGTCGGCTGCTCGCGTGCGTCGTTGCCGGTCACACCGCTGTTGGCGGCGGATGTCTCGGCGGCCGAGCGTGTAGAGTGGTCGTTGCACATGTTACGGCCGCTGTCCAGGTGTCTTTGCTGTAGTGGATGCAAGAACACAAAGATACACATGGTAGATGCAATAGTGCTCAGTAAGAAGTGTAATTTAAAGTACTTGCTACAGTTTGTTCTGACAAAGTCTTACTCTGCTGAGGTCTAACCTCTACACACCGTTTCATCTACACCAGGGAGTTGTAGAATATATGAAGACAGAGATAGAGAGATAGATAGATATATATATATATATATATATAAATTATATAGAGAGAGAGAGAGAGACAGAGAGAGAGCGGACAACCACAGAGGAGAGACAGAGAGAGAGACAGAGAGGAGACACACTTGTGACACTGGCGAGTAAGCTGTCTGAGTAACCTGCCTCGCAATCGAGAAGAACGCGCAGCAATCGGCAAACACTTACTCTGTCCGATATGGATGGTGTGCCTGGCCCGGAGGTGCGTGGCGAAAGTGACGACTGTGTCACACAAATGGACATGTACACAACCATTTAAATCCTCAACACAAGCGGGTAAGCACACAATCTGCCACATGCGGTCAGACACATGCATTCACGCATGATTCATGCATACACACACGCTAACACATAAGTACACTGTATACACATATACGCAAGCGTGAGTGCAAAGAAAGAGTGGCGCTGGCAATTACAGTGACTTCAGACAGTCTGGCTTAAAAAGGTTTGAAAACCACCCTGGCACAGTATGCAGTCATCATTGGCAAGCACACAGTTTCACCGTTATCAAGATGTCCCTATGGTCGGCAAAGCTGCCCCTATCTCTCCCCACTCCTGCCATTCCATACGTCTCATTGCTGCCTTGCTGCGTTGTGCCGTTAAATGGTGCCAGTGTTTTGTTGTTTAAAATGTGGAATTAGCACAAAAAATCCTCGACGGACAAGTGGGCTGGCAATGCCATTACGCGTCATCACACCCGTTTAGGCAACAGGGTGTGATTATACCATTACGTCATTGGTGATGTCGTTACATTGGCATACAGGCAACAGTACTCACCTCGAACGCTGATCCCGACGAACTGGAAACAGGACGACCGTCATTCATATCCTGAAGGGAATAAGAGCACATGAC